ATTCATCCATTATGGAAAATTTCCCTATCACCCAAAGTGGCCTAGGCTGAGCAAAGTTCTTATCAAAATATCACAATCAGCCCCTAAATTGCCTCAAAACACTTGAAAATGAATGAACTTTATCCTTGAATATATGAAGGCCAAGATGTTGTAGCCTCTTGGTATGGTCACAGTCTCCTGTCGATTTATAGAAGTGGGTTGACTTTATTGTCGTTGACAAGTTCTCGTTGACGAGTTCGTGGCTTGTTGTGGAGAATGGCAGCACTCTCTGTCGATGCCGGCGAAGCGTCTGACAAGGTACCAAGTCCACTGTCCGATGTTAGAAATGGTGACAACTACTATGGCAGACGACTTCTACATAGTCGCCCTGACAACAAGACCAAGTTACGACAACGAGGTCAACCCATTTCTATAAATTGAAAGGAGATTGCGACCATACCGAGGGCCCCACCCACTTGTTCTTCATATCTTCCAAAAGTGGTGATTGAGAAAATTAATTATTATTCCTTGAATCTTCTATGCGTCTATTAACTATTGGCTCGATGGTTGCATCTGCCATTTCCTGTCACCAAGTCTTCGAGGCAGTGCTTCCAATCGGCAGAAGTTGATGATGTACTCACCGGTCGTCTTGTCGCGGACCAGTTTGCAACTGGCCAGTCTGCCAACTCTGCCGAACAGGGTGCGTATCTCCTCCTGCGTCATGTTCTGCGGCAGATAGTTGACGATCAAGTTGGTGCGTCGGTCGGTCTCGCTGCTGCCGCAGTCGCTAGACGCGTCCAGACTGGTCGACGCCATGTTCTGCAGGTCGTCGTAGAGCAGATGCTGCTTGTACGTCGTCAATGTCGAGAATGAACCGGTACCAACGTCGGTGCAATTGTTGTTCATGTTGCCGGCGGTGATGCTTGTAACGGTGTTGATGTTGCTGTTGCTGTTGATGCTGCTGGAGGTGGGAGTCGACAGACAGTTGGGTACAGACGCACCGTTGACACCGGCGGATGGCTTCGTCTGACCCCCGGGCCCAATCGGTACGCCAGACTCGGTCGACTCGGACGACGCAGAGGCCGGTCTGGCAGTCGTGGCAACCCGGCCGGACACCGGATGGCCGGAGCGTCCGTTGACGGTGGCTCCGGACGACGGCTTGCTCAGCTGGCCCGGCGCCGGATGGCCGAGGCTGGACGTCGAATGGTGCCCTCCAGAGGCCGGTACCTTCGGCTTGGAGGCGGTCGAGTTGGGAGTGCAGGCTCCGTTCACAAGACCGTCTCCGTTCAGCTCATTGGTCGACTTGAAATGGCTGATGGATGCTTCTGAAGGCATGACACACCGACAAGGAAGTACGAGCAAAAGCGGTGCAGAAAAATTAAGATCCATCAATAAAAGCCTACTTTCAACGACTATCAGTAGTAGTTGAATTTAGCGTGAAAGAGAAGGAAAAGCAGCTTTCTGGGTCAATCTCGTCAGAAGGCGACGGTTGATTTTCGTCATCAAAGCTGGAGCTCATTTTTGTAAAAGAGTCTAATTAACGATACGTCAAAAAAACCTTCGAATATCTTCTTCATGCCCCCTCATACGAAATGACAATCTTAACAACAATGTTGTTTGAAGAGATTGTTCGTATCGGCTTAAACTCAATCAACCCAGCTTGCTTAAGCTTTGGAAAACATTGAATTTCATCGTCTGGTCCGCATCCACAACCGGCCTGGAAACCGAGTCGTGCACATCGCGGCGTCACATCACGACTTGGCTGTACGGCCGAGGAAACCAGTTAGTTGGTCATGCTTCACACAAATCACAGTCTATGGTGGGTCTGCCGTTGGCGCAAATGTATATTTACCATTACAAACGTTGATGCTACTCTTATTCATAATGAGTAGTTTTCATAAATTTCAGTAATCTTTCATACGAATTCACTCACTCTAGGTCGCTTAAAGTCATTCTAAGCCATTCTCACAATGACATGAATAGGCCTCATGATTCCATTAAAATTTATTAATATTTATTTTCAAGTCGCATCTATCCTGCGACCGACTAGGATGGCATTATGTAGCAAACTCCGCTATCAGTCCTTATGTTACCTTAATCAAATTTGTCTGATTAGGTCCTTATTTACGAATTACTGATGGTCTCGAAATTT